TAGTGATCAATTCAAGCAAACATTAACAGTGAAGAGAAATGATTTGAGACAACCTATATCATTTCATCTTGGGACTGAACACAACATCAAGGCAAGAAAGGTTAGTCAACGTTTTCTGCTGAAATACACCTTAGGGGTGAAAGCGGCGAAGTCTATCACTTTCTGTCTACCTCCGCGCAAAAACGTGGTAGTTCGTCCGAACGAATAAGACCAGACTTCATCGCAGCTGACGACGTCAAATCGCGATAACCTCTGGTATCTCAGAATGATTATAGATATCAATCAAGTATCCTTCTTCTTTTGATTTGGCATTTTACATCCTAAAAGATCGATTACCCTGTGAACTTTCATCACACAAGGTTGCAACTGCCTATGGCATGGATTTCCAAAAATTCTGCCATGAGCATTGTGAAAGTACCGAATGTGAATAGATACCATGTAATTCTGAGTGCTATTGCTGGAAATGGTCGGGCTAATTAGATACTACTTACAAAAATGGTGCGTACCGCAGACGATTTTTTCCACAATAGACTTCATTTTTGTGATTGGCGTGCCTAGCCGGGAAACGTTCTCATGGTTTCCAGTCACTATACTCCAAACCGGGCATCAATACGGTTTAACAGCGGCAATCGGCGCCACTCTGGTTCCACTGATACTCTCATCAAAGCAGGCAGAGATAAAGAACAGTGCTGATTTAAGTGCCATTTCAGAAGATGGTGCATCCTTCCGGGTGATTAGACTGGGGAATATCTGACTATTCCATCGTTTATATTGGGCAACTTTCACTAGGAAACGGGAGACCACTCACGGTTGTCAGCCAATACAATTGCTATATAAGATTCGAACAATGAGGGAAAAATTATTCGACAGAGTTATTCCTTTAGGATATATACGGAAAGTGAAAAACGCAGGTGCAGTGTTCAGTTGTTGTCTTCACAAATGATACTTTTAAATAGTTTTGTTTGTCAGTACTCCTTCCTGACCACCGCCGGTGCATAATTATTTGGACAGCTTGCCCTCCATAGCCCTCCTCCGTGATATCAATACCGAGTGGGTCGTTTTGACAAGCGAAGGTGTGATTACCAGCTGACGCTTCCCGTGACTTCGGTCCAATCCTACTCTTGTGTGGTTTTCTTCACCGTACTAAGTGAGGATGTTCTGTACCCGAGTCAAATCCCTGTGCAGCTCTTTTGAATGCATGTTTTCTTCACGCAGGATGGGGATATCTTCACATCCTCTGTTCTCTAGAAGCTAGTGAAAGGTTTCATTAAAAAAGAACATAATGCTTCTGAAATCGATCGCTTGCTAGCCGCAAAGGTATCTAGAACCTACATATTTTGCAGCGCAGACTGGCATTTTCCACATTACGTTTGGGCCAACCAACACTTCGGCGAAGCGGCTGACAACCGATGTGCCAGCTGTCACACCGTCGTAATGTGATGGAAACTCACTTTGCATTCACATCATGACTGGGATTAGTAGGTGGCAAAACCGTGTGCACTCAACCAAACTGTGAAACCCTGCATAAGTTTCAAACTGTCCCAGGTTTGTCCCTAATACACCTATCCATCACTGATAACCTAAAGTCAAGTCTTCTGTTTTAGCCAGTTTGAATGGAATTGTAATGAAATTCCCTCGAGATGGTGGAACACAGACAACCCGTTCAAAGGCGTTTTCCTGCTTACACCAACTTATCCCCAAGTCCTGATAGGCTCAGTCAATCTGCTACTGCTTAAGCCTCAGGGTTTACTGGCATCCAAATAGGCCACGACGCCCCCGTCTGATTCATCTTTTTTCATCCCCTTCAATTCTGGCAGAAAAGTGGGAACCTGGTATTTTACTACAGTTTGTCGGATGACTGCAATCATCGCGTATAAGGCAGTTGGTCCTGGAAATCAGTCCAGTACGCGTTTCGCACTGTTTGAGATCCACCAGATGTCTGGAATAATCGTCCACATTCCACTTTGATGAACAATTTTTAGCGCTACGTGGCCACCAGCTACTTTTATGTGTAGATGTGTATTACGAAGTGTTTTCCCAACTTGACCCTCACGAGTCCAAAAAAGGACGAAACAGATTGTGTTGCCATACAGAGGCAACTACTTTCTGTCTCTGCAATCAACATCCTCAAATTTATGACTCACACGCTTTCAGCCCCTCTACAATGACCGCGGAAAGTTAGGAAACACTTGGCTGCTCTCAAGTAGTCACGTCTCCTGGCACATGTCGCCTCAATGGCTAATCCAAGAACTCCTCATTTGTGCTCTTCACGCAAACTGTACCTTGAAAGTGCAGTCCTAGATGGGCCAATGTTGCACCAATAGAGTAGCAGATTGTACATAATCATACGCCCAAACGTTTTCATCCGATCCCCAAGCAACAGTCTATCGCCCAAAACACTAGTTTTGGGCGAAGGTCCAATTACAACGCTGTGCAAAGGCGCAGCAACTGGGCTTAGCTTATGTCACCACCGCTAATGAGGGTAGCTGGTCTTGTTTTTGGAGGAAAAATCGTTCAGCTGTAACAACTCTTTGATGTCTAGCTACCCGAAGAAAGCACGGGGACTGAGATACTGTAAATTTCCACAAGCCTAGAAAGGAACAGTCGAGCGTTCGGGATTCGGTTCAAACAGCGGACCTTCCGGCCAGTAAGTCCGCGCACCAACCAGCCATCTCCGCATAAGATGACAAATAGTAATATCAGCTAACTTAAGGTTAAGGCGCGAGTGACCGTGACAGTTTGTTTATTGAACAAACTGTGCGAGTCACTGAATTGCATCCATTTTAGCTGCTCATTAAAGTTTCACCCCAGCGAACCCAGTTCTCCATGTCACTTCGGCTTGCGCCAATATCTATCTTCCGTAAACAGCTAAACCATCGGAAGTCCGACAAACTAACTCCGCCATTTGTCCTTACCTTCATCTCCTCAACACCCTATAGCACAGTGATCAATTCCTTACCCCTGTAATCTCATTCAACACTACCCAAGTGACTGCACACGTGGAACTGTCCATTTCCTGATCCTAACCAACAGTTCACCAACGATGCTATGCCGAATGAATGTGAGCTGTATGATCTCTGTGGTTTCAATGACTGAAGATAGAACACCAATGTATAAGGAAAACTTTGGAAATTATACTCATTAGAGAAAGATGCTAGGAATTGAACTGCATTGGGGCTACTACTGTATTCAGATAGTAGGTGGTTTTCTTACCAGCAGCAGTAATGAGTCCTGCCGAAAAAGGTCAAACTCGACCACAGTCACACCACATTCTCCATAAAACCTATTCCCAGTGGCTCAACATAAACGCGTAACGCTCCATATAGAAGGATGTCTACATTCGAACTTAGCCTTCATCATGGTACCGAGTTGTATTTACACGATATTGTAGTCGGTCTGATATTGTATTCATGGAGGTTGCTACCACTATGGACCCATATTTCGTGTGTCTCAGAAGCATGAAAAGCAAAACCAAATCGCCTTGCTTGTAGTTGCATCTTCAGCTGAGGTTTTAGAAACTGTCAGAACGCGCAACTAACCTATATGATGGCCACCTTCAAACCAAAAATTACCTTCGGTTGGTCTGGCAAAGTCAGGTTATCCGACCGTATGATGTAGAAGAACGTAATCGCCTACCTGACTACGACAAGTCAAACAACAATCAAAGGAAGCCAGAGACTTGGACGATCGATAAATCGAATCGGTAAACCGGAATCCCACGAAACTTTTCACAAACTGTTCACCATGGCGCGTCCAGTCGCCTTCAAGCTCCTTAAAATGACTCATTTTGGTTTTCCAACCCCTGAGGATCAGGGGTTTCCAGTTGACTCATTGATTGTTTCGCGAGTAGCATTCACTCGTAAGTCAGAAGTCAACTTGAATATGATTGCTTAGTTCACCTTCATAGCTATCTTATTCTCCACCTGTCCCCTTGTTAGGTCATTCGACAAGCCACTGTGGTGATATAGCGTGAATGAATTCGTACATATTATGTGGATTTTACTTCATACATTATCGTTTGAGCCCATTTTTTCTGAATTTAACTGAGACCACTCCTGCTTCAGTCTGGGAACTTGATGAGAGAAAACCTCAGACTGCAACTAGTGCTTCCTAATTTGAGCTGAGCCTTGGTAACACAACTGTTGACCATGTCTGATGTCACTCTCACAGCAAATTTCGTCGTTATTTATCATCATATTATTGTCATATAATTATCATACTGTCATTTTAGGACCCAAGTGATGTATCAAACTCATTATCCGCACATTCCATCCTGATGCTGTACACGAATGAAAGTAAATGAATCGAGGGGACGTACAGCTCCAAATCTCAGGAGGCTACTGAGCAACGCCGTAGCTTCAGGTACAGTCTTACTGTTGCAAACAAGTGGACTGTTATAGGAACGATCTGAATGCTTGATTTTCTGCGCAGGAATATCCGAACCTGGATAACATCGCCGTCTGGCTCATTGTGGAGGTAATATGAAAGAATACTTATGATGCTTGTGCGGCAACTTAGTGTAAAATTCAATCCAACACGTACCTGCACCACTGGGCTTAAATCAATGGCAAACAAGCGGGTAGAGGACTTATGGGTTTAAGTTTCATTCACGTGTTCCTGTCTTCTCGATTAAATAATATATTGTGTTACTAAACAGGATTCAATTAAACGCTAATAGTTGATTAGCCTGACAAATTCATCGACTGCTAACAAATAAATGATACAAATAATCAATGGTGTAAATGTGACGAGTGGCCATCCCGGGTAAATAGTATGAACAGGTAACCAAAGCGTCGTAAAAATGATCTGTGCGCCTACTTGATGTGCATTGATGAAAGAATGAGGATCAGAACATCTGAACGTCTCGTAATCGGGTGACAAAAACGCTGCTGGTTGGTTGATTCGACAAGGGACCCCCACCTTTCACCTGAATCGAGTTTAATGTCAGTCCGCGCTACCAATACGTGTTCTCGAAAACGAAGGTTGAGTCCATTGGATCTGCTAACGGGTGGCAGAAAAGTCACTTAAGCGTTTTGCGAAACGTAGCGTGTACTTCTGTTCACTGGCAGTAGGGACCAGACTGAAGCTTTCTCTGTCTGTATTCAGTCCCAAAACCTACAACCGACTTCAACGTGTTGACGCCTGTTATTGTTGTCGTTGCTGTTCCCACACTTTCGATCATTCCCATTATCCCAGTGTTCTTCTTCGAATGGCCAGGTTTGCTTCAGCTAATTCCAGGCAACATAAACCAATATACGTTGATCGAAATCCGTCGCACATAAGTTCTCAACACATTCCGACCGAATTCACAGTTGAATGACACACCCAATTCAGGTGTATGTCATGGAGAACGACAACAACAGGGGCCATTGTTTATAGAAAATCAAGAATGCAAATCAAGAATGCAAAAGTTTCTCCGTGCGGGGAAAGGCTGAAGGATGTGTTCCCACCACAAACAAAGCAAACAATTCCGTCACATCATGACAATCAGATATAAAGAAAAGAAGGGAAATGTTGTAGAGATAATCAATAGGCTATAACAAAATAGTGATCAACAGGTGTAAGTGAAAGTCAGCTGTGTCTTATAAATAGCCGAGCGAAGTAGGTGGACAGCAAGTTGAGTGTATCTCATTCCGAGTCCCTCATAAAACATCCCTGGAGTTGGAAAGGGAAGCAAACCAAGAAAAAAAACAAAGTAAAGACTAGAATAGAAGAGAAAACCGATAGGAAAATGTGGGCGTAATTTAGGTTGCGTGTGCGTCGTAGTTCATAAGATGTTGGGTCAATTTGATTGAACACGGACACGACCAAACTTGGTTGAAATGTGGAGTTAATCGATAAGGGTCGAGATAAAACGACTTTGGTTGTCCGAAGCAACAAACGGCACGGTGTCTCAATTAGGCTAACCTCCGGGATTATTTGACTAGGGACAATAATACATAGCATAAAGACGGCAATGCACGCTCACCGAACGCCAGGAGAAGTGAAATCACGTAAAGCAAAGGCAACCGCCGATTCGTCCAAATTTGATTTGTGGTGGTTCAGCCCTGTAAACAAATGGAAACAGACAAATACAGAAAAATAAAGTGATCTCCCAAGACAGACTTCTCATTTTGAGAAGTGACAATGTAAAATGTTCCCGAAAGAAGGGTCTCTTGTCGGGAGATGCCTAAATGTTCCCTTCCGGAGGTTTCTTCACTTCAGGTGGATTAATATGCAGTGATTTTAAAAAAATGGCCATCCACGGTGGTTTGCAATGTCTTATTACTGAGCTAACTGTATTCACTTCTTCCATGGACTTTTAAATTCAACTACTTTCATTTAGTATAATGGAATAACTTCCGGATGTTACAGAGACTACTAATTTTGCTATTGTATAAAACACCTTCAGCACTTACGTGATGCTTCGCTTGGCAGAGGTTCGTTCGTATGCCGAGTGGGCGATCCACCATCACTCCGTGGTATCCATACTCGAGATAAGCTTTCATGTCCATCACGGAGACGCCGTCTACGGCTTGCAGCACGTTCGTGTAAATTAGCGCCGCCGTGTATCAGCCGACCACGTGTGTCATATCCGTAACCGATGCCTTCGTATCCTTCGACTTCTCCTCTGGATAGCCGACTCTCTGTGCCACCCACACTGTACGTAGAACGCCTATCTAAACTATGTGTTCTTGAAGACGAACGATGACGCCGCTCTAGTTCGGCTTGGGCTTGCAGCTGAATCGTCGATAGCCGAAGCGGGGCTGTCGGGGATACTGCGCCAGACGAAGTTGGGACCGGATGATCACCGAACCAGATAGCGTTCATGGAGCTCGAGCGGACACGGTTAGGATTCATGCCAGTCACACCACTTAGTGTACGCCTTTTGGTACTGATGATCATACTGTGTTTCGAACCTTATTCAGATAATTTGGGAAAGAATATTTGACAACGATAAGAGATGGTGTGACAGATCGTCACTGGAAACTATCTTGTCTTATCAACTGAATAAACATATGAAACCTTGACTCAGATCCAGTAAGTTAGAAATACTTCATTACTTCATGAATGGGATGGACCAAAAGCAATGAGTTCATTTCTCTCGTTATAACACCGGACTGAGGAGACCAATGAGGACCGTTCCTCATGAGGAGGTGAGTCAACTAAGAACTAACTGGTACAAAAAACGTGGCAGTAGATGTCCCACCAAGGTTCCCATTTTGATGAGATAAGCAGGGTGTGATCTACTGGGACTTACTTCAACAGCAGTCCATCAAAAGAAAAATTGACTGTCCCGACCGAACACAACTCTTCGTTTGTTTTGAATTCTTTCGTGGACAGCACCATTTCGGTGCTCACCTACAGACAACATGAACGCTGGTTGCAATCTTCCTTTCGGATAACATAACTGGATATCTGTAGGACCTTTGAGGCCTCGTTTGTGACAAAACTGTTCGCGCAATCCGACGTCATTAGTGTTTTTTTTTCATTAGAACAGTAGAACAGTCAGAAGCACGAACTGCAAGATGCTGACAGTTCAAATCAATTACATCAGTCGTAGACGAAAAATAGCCGGAATTTCCAGAGATCGCAACGTACTTTTCCTCGAAATGTCACATAAAGCGATAAGTATCTTCACTTCAGCATTGTCGCTGTGGCGAACATTAGTCAACACTCCACTTTGCAGTGATGGGGTTACTTATGCAACCGATCAACCATGGAGTGGTGAATAGGTATTTTGAAACAACTATTACATGGGCAGCCGAACCCTCTCTCCACTCTGGTCGCCAAAGAGAAAGAGATTGTAATCCGCCTACAACTCAATGGCGATCACACTTTGAAGACCAATAAACAAAACTACAGTCCACTCTAAACTCCACTTGTCGATTCAATTATTATACATCACATCCGTAATCCGGGGGAGTATATTTCAAACTCAGTACCAGAGTTCGTTTGGTCATTCTGTCTCGGATGCCATTCAGAAGTCCACCTACTGTGATACCTATATCGGCGCCTTCCTCATGGGATCCCCGAACGTAGTAGAAACTAGTATTTTGTAACACAAAAGTTCAAGTCTACTAGCCACCGGATCGAACTGAAGTTTGTAGGCTTACAAATGAACCTCAGAAACAAACCACCTGGCTAATGACGTACACGCCGTGCCGATCGAAAATCGAACCCGCTAGCCTTCTGCAAAATGGTGATGACAACAAAACATAAGCTGAAATTATGCTCATAAATTATTGATTCAAACTATCCGACTGCCCTGAAACTGAACCCAACACAAATCCACCTTCAAAAGAATGTGACCTTTGATTTCTTTGTCTCATTTTACCACGCCTTTTACCCTTAATCCTGGATGTCTCCGGTCGGCGACTGACGGGAGAAATTAAGAATGATAGCATTTTGTAACTCACTTATTCTGGTCAGTGTTTCAAACACGGTGATTTGTACGGAATCAATTCGATCTCTTGTCTTCTTTTTAAAGATTGTCAACTACTGGTGAGATAAGGCAGACGGTCAAATGCGTTTTCCGCAGTGCGTAGCGCTCGTTCCAAATTCATAGCTCATACTGCGAGTCATCTGACTTTATGACTCATCTGGCGGTGACCTTCAACAGCCTACATCATCAAAACTTAGGTTTTTGCACCAAAGTGGTTTTTCACCTTCACCTAGATAGTTCCTGAACAAAACTTGATGGACTAAACCGAAGTGTTTTATTTGAAGATGAGATGGATTAAAGTGCCACGGAACATAATTTTATTTTCCTCATTGTTTGATGAAATTTTAAAAGAAAAGTCTTATTTTGACACGAATCGTAAATTCAAGCACGCTAGGTGTCAAAAATAAGACGGTTCGATCGAATAGCTTGTGAGGAAATAAGTGAAAACAGGTTTGGTTTCCATAGATCGGATGAAGTTCACCGAATCGATTTGCAAATGATGTAAATATAACTTAGTGTTCGATTGAAAAAAAACTAAGCTGATAAGCCCCAAGAGGGTTAAAACCAGTAGCGGTTTGTCGGAAAGTTCTCATCTACCTTATGAGTAACATTCAAACTAAAGCACTTATTTGCCTGGTGTTGGCAATCCTGTAACAATGCGTGAACTCACGAATGCCTACTATAAAAGCGGGGGTGATTAAGATGCATCAAGTTCCTATTATTTTAAAATGCACGTAATTCCTGGAAAACCTGTTCAGGTTTGATCCCATCGCTGGTGCCGTCCACGGGATTATAAACAGTAATCCGAAACGTATTTCGACACTAAGTTGATTTGTTAAGATTGATCTGATTTCGAAGCGGTAACATCAACAGTTCACTAACTTTCAAGAACTAGTTTGGTGGGTAAACTATCCAACAGTTTAACGCATTGCATTCATAAACAGCCTGAAAAGCATATCATTGTTTCTAGCATACCCTAAATGGATCTCTATCTGTTCAAGGTAGGTGAACATTTTTAATTCACAGAGGCGTTCTCCAAACATCGTTTATCTGATAAGGTCTTGTATAACAGAAATTTCACTTAATGGTTGTGTTGAAAAGTTGTTCGGCTATGTTACAGACCGACAATTCGTCCAACAGAATAGAAATGATCACCATCAGAACGTGATCGATTACAATTCACAAGCATCAGGCATGGATATGGCACAACACATGTATACGATCTCTACTCCAGATAGTATTCAAAACTGGTTCATCAATGACCTGATTCAGCAATAGAAATTCGTTTTTCGAGGCAGGAACACAGAAGAAGCTGCTTCGAAACCACTGGCAGTTTCCATGACCAACGTCGCTCAGTTTGCCTTACCACCATTCTCGGTGGAACAATCAATCAGTCAGCTACTCAATGCTTTGCGTCATGAGCGAAACTGACAGTTTGGTGCTCTTGGCTTGCCCCTGACCATATTAATATGGTCAAGGTCGGCCACAATGCTGGGCTGGCGACTGCTGTTAAAATAAACAAATGCTCGTAGTGGGGTCACGTGGTATTGTCACTGTGAACTTCCTTCCCTAGATTCGGATGAAAACAACAGCATGGTTTTGGAGTGGCACGACTTGTGGAAGAGTAAGTTCGATGGAGCATTAGCAGCCGGAGTAATTGGCGATCCGGATGAAATTTATGGAGCCAAGACTGAACGTCACAGAAGTCTAGGTGGAACACAGCGATATAGGATACAAAATATGAGATGACACTATGCAGAACTCAAATGTGACGAGGAAACTCATACGACCCCCCTACTGTTAACCTGAAGTCCCCGATAGGCATTGAATTGTTTGGCGGAGAGGTGAGGTGGATTAGGCTTGATTGTGACCGAATAAGACGCGACTTAAGCCAATGGCATGATCGATCGCAAGCCCAAAATAAGAACCCGGCAAAACTCACTTCAGGCTGCTGGCTGGAGCAGTTGTTACCCTGAAAATTTTACAGCTAGGCGCGCGATTGTTGCTACGTTGCATAAATACATCGACATTCCAACGAGGAATCAAGACCACTGTATGTTTCCTTTGCAGATTTGGCTGGTGCAGAATCGCTAATGTCAACCTCTTTCAGGCGCCAGACGCATTACGGATAATCAACTCTGAACGAGTGTGGCGTGCAACCGAATTAGTTTATAGCCATTGGAGCATGTCGACGAGCCGAAGCCGTACTGGTGAGTCGAACTCTACTTTTCAATGGACGTGTGTTACGACAGCATTCTGTAGGACCCAAAAAAAGTTATGAGTATCCAGTTCAAGGACTGAAATCAAGGGATTTTGACATACTGAACGCCCTAGGGTGTACTGTTTGAGGTTTTTGTACCTCGTTCGTGACTTGCTTCCTTGATTCAATCAGTCGACCACGTACCAGTAAGGCGCAAAACACGTAAGCAATCAGCAATTTGTGGTACTGTGAGGAGATCTGATAATTTTCAATTGAGATTTCATCTCGCCACTGAAGACAACCTATGCTGAAAATGCGAAAAGTGCTGCACCTGAGAATCATCAGTAGTGCGCATCTCACAAAACTCAGAGGGTTTCGAACCTATAGCCTCGCAGTCACCAATTCATCACAACCGTTTGACCACAAACAGCTTAATAGCAGTGTGATTAGCTCTCATGTAGACAGGATATATCACTAGCCATCGTTCAATAACAGAAATTATACCATATACGTGATGCACAACTCATGAGATTGCTGAAATCTCATCACGCGGTTCTGATCACTGACCTTCCGGCCAGGAGTTGGACACAGCTGTACGATTGTTCTCAATCGAAAATTAGCTACTGACCTTGTTGGTACTTGATTGGCATCACACACGTCCATTCGGTCATCAGAAATATATGGTACGGAATAATTTCTATTTATAGAACACACCACTATTACTACGGTTTTCGCCCTTCTTCGGGCTCACCGGGCTCACCCGACTTTTCACCAACCTCATGTGTTACTTAAACAAACGTGGACACATTCACGAAATAGAACCATTTGCCCACTACTTTCGTCTTACACTGAATTCCGGCCGAAACTCTCGTGTTTGATATTGCTCGAGTGAATGTACTGTCCCAAGGCTACCTCAAGTTTCGCCCGGTACGATATCGGAGTGGATCTTCTTGACGGAACACACTTCAGTAGCTGAAAACTCATCGAGCGTATTTCGTCCTCCGTCAAGAAAATATACTGTGATATCTTGGATATCGCATCAACTGAAAGAGATACCCTTTATACAACACATTCAGTTGCAGAACACCTTAACTGGGAGTTTCAGCTGGCATTCAATTGAAGGCTCGTTAAAATCGCATCCGTTACATACGTGCATCAGTTGAACCGGCCAAAGATCGGCTGGAAAGTTCAACCATTTCACCTAGACTGGCCGGTCAGACAAGCTAAACAACGAACAGAAGGCGATTGTCTTAGAGCTGATAAGCAAATCGGAATTCGCTGACACCAATATTTCAGACAGAGGGATAAAGCGCACAAAAATAGTGACTCACCAGCAAGGCCTTGTCGATCACTTGTCGCTGTGTCCCTCTTCGAACGGGGGCGCGAGGCACGTTCGTACTCGTACTGCTGTGGATGAAATTGCTCTGGCCTGTAGCTTCCATGAGGCACACCCCGAGAACCTCGATCCCAAGTCCCTCCATGTATATATGGTCTTGGAGACGTAGATGAAGGACTGAATACCCTGTCGTGGGGAGACGGGCGCGAGGATCGCCTCAGTTGCGCGCCGCGTGTTGCTTCTGAAAGAAAAAAATTGTTCACGCGTGAACAGACTTGCGAAACAGGGAAACTCATAGTTTCCCTAGTTTTCCCATAGTTTTCTAGCGAAAACGCACATTTTGACACATGACCAGTCCCGCTAAAATTTCGCGCAGTCATTTTTCACGCCAAAGAAACTCGGTTTGAAATTGGTAAGATTGCAAAACTGGGATTGTCTCAATAAACACCGAAACGATTGTGAACTATCGGTAGCTGTTGATTGGTTCTGACTGTATACTTCTATGTCCTAAGACTTAATCAATTGGACAATCCGTCCAGTTGTCTTGATCATTGTTCTGGAAGCTGGTGTTGTCGTGTATCTATTTTATTATTAGGCTGAATGTTAGCGGGACTTCTCCAGCCATGACAAAGCAGAGCTCGCGTCTGATCCACAGTCCCATTGCTGACCATAATGACGCCAGTGAAAACCTAATCACATTCACTCTATTCGGGCAATTTTAACATGTACACTGGTTCCCGCTGCTACAGTTTCCTCCGCCCAGGATGAAGAGATTGAAAGAATGACAGATGCGCATCCCACCGGTGGACTTAAGCAGAGATGTTTGATCAATCTACTGTTAGGATGAAACCTGAACAAATTCACATTTGTTGGGTATCCACAAAACCGGACGCACTTATCGTAAACTTTGTCGTTTTAATCTGTTTGACCTGCATACATGTTCCAAATTCACCTTTCGAAGATGACCTATTTTTCCCATGACTCCGATGAACCTCGGATTATACACGACCATGTGGGCTTAACTTCCTTCTTGGCCTGTAATCCCTGTCACAAACACACAAGGGTTCACTCCAAATTACACAGCAGTCGTGCATATGCATCGTCTGCTACCTCGGCTACTTTGTTCCACTGAAGTATCGTTGTTTCATTTAACGGTCTATAAGACTCCTGTTGTCGAAACACGGACTTATGTGCCTCAAACCTTTGAATGTCTCATATTGCGACGGTGAAGATGCGAATTTACTCACGTCATCCTACTACAATGAAACAAGAATCCGCCAATTAGATAGCAGCTAATGCCAAAATATCCGGGTTAGCAACCAACGGACACGAACAACGGTATATATTCCGGATGGACCATCGCGGTGAGACCATGGTTAAAGGTCAGGATTGAAATTAAGCCTTCACAATCGTGTACAAACCGCGGTTTGTTTTCGGACTCATAGCGAGAAATGCAAGTAAATTTGGAACAAGTGTACAGGTCAAAATGTGCGAAACATGGTCGGTGCACGCAGTTTTTGAGCACGAAAATAATGGAGTGTCACGTAGAACCTGATGTGAACTCAGTCAGTGAAGGTGAATTTAGTTATTTTTCATCAGTATGGTGGATAGTCCCTGCTTTAGTGTGGACTCATCAGAATAATTAGGCCAGCACAGGAGGGAGACTGCTCAGAAGAGAGTGATGCGAATGTGAACCACAACCACCCACAACAAGATGGTCAAAGGCTCAAGCGATATCAGAATAAATCGTTTAAAAGACTAATCAATTAATCAAATGTATGCTGTCTGGCAACAAACGGTTGGAAATCATGTTACTCCATGAACTGCCATGAACAGTCAGGCTAATTTGTAGAAAACATTGTCAGTGCCAGTTTTTCGATTGGGTTTGTTGATCGCTTGTGGTCATCCGAGTTGATTAGCTGATTTATCACAATTTAGACTGAGCTTGCATTCGCATGTTTGGGATGACAGCTGAACTTCACCGAGACTAGCAATCAGTCTGTGGGGATGCGAACTGACTGCCCGAGTCGAGGTTTTTTCAAGACGTTACAAAAAACTCCACAGTGTTACATAACGAAAAGTGAGGCGATTCACTTCTGAACATTCTATGCAGTAGTTTCCCCAGTAAGCAATTGAAATAGGCAATTGCCTCCCTGGGGAACCTCTGGAAAAAATTTTCTACCATTGTTTTATCTCCTTCACTAGGCAAAAAATAAGGTACACTAGGAACTAAAGTGCACCCAACTTCTGATACGAAGTGCTCTGGGCTAACATTCAAGACACTCGCTCCTTATGACCACAACATCAACCCAATTAAGTGAGATATCACCGCGTTTCATCTATGTAAATGAAACGGTTAGTGCATGCTAAGCTAAACAAAACTGCAGCGAACATCCTGACACCGAGGGACACGCAGATGGGGAGGTGCAGTCAACTGACCTGTCCAAAGAAGAGGAGGACAAGCCCACCACTGTTACTTTACCGCATCAGCCTACATCGTCGCGGAGACCGTTCATCTATCAATATGGTGGATACACTGATGGGCTTCAACTATCAACACTGGTAATATTGTTTAAATGTGCTAACGTGGTCGTGGTTCCGCCGGGGCGATAACACCCTAGGCCGAAATTCACGGAATCTCATTCGTAATACCATTGCACTCATCCGCTTCATAAATGAATACGATGTTCGAAATATACGCAACTGATCGGAAATTGCAACTTATTAAGAACTCGATGAGTTTTTAAATCATAGAATCGGGTAGTGTATGTCCTGTTCCTCCTCAGTTTCATCCACTGTTAATGTTAGCTATGGAACAAAGTTGCTTTTGATGTGACAGTCGGCGTCCAAACATCATAGGTTTTCCCCCGAAAAAAATTATCATTGAAATGGCGAATTTATCTTCGGGAAAGTCGGAACTGCGTGCGCCTGTATGCTTCCTAATTCAAGAGTCAAACTTGCTAACTTCTCTTGCGTAATGCCCGTCAGCAGGCCAGCCGAATTCCACTGGAAACCGTCGGTTAGATGACATTCAACAACAATAGCATTCAAGTGGAATTGACGGAGAATATATGAGCCCCAAAATACAGTGCAAACCGAAAAAAAAAACAGGATTTCTGGTCGAGCCTCAAACTGGCGACATCTCGCTAACTGCACGAGATATACCATGCTAATACTATAAGCCGTTTGCATCGGCTCAATACTAAAATGATGCTTTATAAACCTCCGACGGCGATTTCGTTTCAGTGTGCGTATCGGAACAACTATCCGGGTTGTACAGTAAATTAAGCGGGAGTAAATTGAAGCTCCCATGCAGAGCATCCGGAACGCCCGTGGAGCTTACGCTGGCTCAACGTTTGTTTCTACCTTGTCATCAGGATGTTCACCTTATCATGGATGTTGGACAGCTCCTGTCGTTGCTGCACGATGCAACTATTTGCTGGTCTCCTTGTACAGCCATCAGGTCGGTAGCTGGCTGAAAGAAATCGCATTCACATGAGAAGCGCAATCAGCATATTGCATGCTTCTGTTATTGAGTGGTGAATGGATGACGTCGATATGAGGCCTGCCCGGTCGAAATAATTTATGATGGGTGGTTAATGCCGGTGCTACAGTCGTGACATACGCAGAAACAATAAAAGCGAAGCTTTACTTAATGACAAAATGACAGTCGACGGATCTTAGAGAAAGTTCCAAAACATATAACCACGATTGCAATCTCTAATGGACATAGTTAATGAACAATCTAAATCATTATGGCACACAACGCTTTCCTAAGCTTTCTCAATTGATAACCCCAAAATGCAGTTATAGTAGGAAATGTCATCACCAAATGAGACAATCTAAGTGGTATGCTTTCTAATGCATGCAATGGCTGATTTTGGGGATCATAATGCCATCAGGTTGCTCAAACACTCTTCATCGGTAAAAGGTGGAACCTCGGCACAGCTGAAGTAATTTAATCACTATATCATTAGGACTACGCTCTGATTGCTTGGTCTGGGTTATGAACTGAAGATGCACGTAAGCACGTGCGAGACGACCTGGGTGAATGTGTACCCACGACGTCGGTTTGTCTATTGCCTGCGAGCACAGATTCATGGATATCCGTCTTGAAGCAAGGCATTTGGGCCGCATTTTACAGATTTGGGTATGGAGCTAGATGGGACTTTGCTAAAGCACTTATGCCTCTTGGTGATATCATTATCACCTTTGCCAAATTTGTCTTCAGGTATAAAACAATTAGGTTTTCGCTGTAAGGCCTTCAGTTATCTTTGTTTTATCCACCTGTGTCATTCGGAACTTATGGTGCAGTTCAAGAAAAAATTGAGTTATGCCCCTCAGGGTCCATTTCACCATTGCTAACCAGTGCTGACCGCGTAAACACTTCATATCAGTGACGCATGCACGAAAGCTCTACACCACCAAATAAGCCGACAATTGGTAGCCCTGATGGGGCACATGTTGCCATATAACTTGAAACCCTGGAGCCCTACGTGAGCGGGCTTATGTTGATAAGGCTTCCTCTCTGATTCTCTGCACAAATGAGGCTTAATATCGTACATCCACCAAAATCTAAGTGAGTGAAGCAACTCAAGCGCGTCTGAGATGACTGCAGTTTTCGTGAATTGCTTGCAAGGTGGGAAACATTCAATCACTCCTCTCTAATTTTGGATGCTGAGTAGTCCGATGTATGTCCGTCTGTATTTCCTGTCAAAAGCTTGCGGTTGACGACACCGTGTGAGTGGCATCATCATCCTGCAGAAATAGTTATGAGATTTAGGTGTGTACTTACTGACTGGATGGTACGTGGCTCGAACCCAAACTCTGTACCTCGACTGCTCTTGTCAAGGCTTGGGCAACCTGGAAGTAACTGAACCTTCATGCCTCCTTTCAGCGGCACAGCAGCTAGGCACCTACATGTTGTCGCACCTGAACGGTTATTTTTTATTAATTGTCATGGTCAATGAGTGTCTGATATTAACTGCCATACTACGTCAAGGAGTCGGTTCTCTACTTTCAAACTCTTATTTCTACCTTCAGATCGAAGGTTTTCTTTTGTAGTTTTCAGTTTGAAACATTGATACTATCGATCGATTCGCGCAGTCAGACTGCAGGGAAAAAGAGAGAATTTCCGACAAGCGCAACAGGAATGTAGGATCAAATAATCAATAACCGATCCAGTTTTGGACAGCTAAGCAGACAGACGACGGGCACTTTCTACAGTGATCGCACGCGGCT